AAAAAAAAAAAAAAAAAAAAAAAAAAAAAAGCCAGGCGTGGTGGCACACACCTGTAGTCCCAGCTACAATCTCGGCTCACTGCAAGCTCTGCCTCCTGGGTTCGAGCAGTTCTGCCAAAGCCTCCTGAATAGCTGGGATTACAGGCACACACCACCTCGCCCAGCTAATTTTTGTAATTTTAGTAAAGATGGGTTTCACCATGTTGGCCAGGCTGGTCTCAAACTCCTGACCTCAGGTGATCCGCCCGCCTTGACCTCCCAGAGTGCTGAGATTACAGGTGTGAGCCATTGTGCCCGGCCCAGGACTCCCTTGCTTCTTTAGTCTAAGTCATGTTGTGATGTGAAGATGGACCATGCTGTGTTCATCCTTTCATCTGGTGATGGATCCATGGGTTGATTTCGCCTTTTGGCTGTTATTAATCCCACTGCTGTGAGCACAGGTATGCAAATATCTCCCTGAGTCCCTGCTTTCTATTCTTTTTTTTTTTTTTTTTGAGACGGAGGCTGTCTCTGTCACCCAGGCTGGAAGGCAGAGGCATGATCTCGGCTCACTGCAATCTCTGCCTCCCGGGTTCAAGTGATTCTCCTGCCTCAGCCCCCCAGTAGCTGGGATTACAGGCACGCGCCACCACGCCCAGCTAATTTTTGTATTTTTAGTAGAGATAGGGTTTCACCATGTTGGTCAGGCTGGTCTCGAACTCCTGACCTCGTGATCTGCCTACTGTGGCCTCCCAAAGTGTTGGGATTACCGGCGTGAGCCACTGCACCTGGCCCCTGCTTTCTATTCTTTTGGATGGATGGCAGTGGGTTTGTTGGAGCAAATGGTAATTCCATGTTTCAGTGTTTTGAGGGACCGCCATTTATAAAGTGTTTTTGTTGTTGTTTTGTTGTTGTTTTTGAGATGGAGTCTCACTGTGTTGCCCAGGCTGGAGTGCAGTGGTATCATCTCGGCTCACTGCAACCTCTGCCTCCTGGGTTCAAGCCATTCTCGTGCCTCAGCCTCCTGAGTAGCTAGGATTACAGGCGCCCACCACTACACTTGGCTCTTTTTTTTTTTTTTTTTGAGACAGAGTTTCACTCTTGTCGCCTAGGCTAGAGTGCAACGGCATGATCTCGGCTCACTGCAACCTCCGCCTCCTGGGTTCAAGCAGTTCTCCTGCCTCAGCCTCCCGAGTAGCTGAAATTAGAGGTGCCTGCCACTACACCTAGCTATTTTTTTTTTGTATTTTCTAGTAGAGATGGGGTTTCACTGTGTTGGCTAGGCTGGTTTCGAACTCCTGACCTCAGGATCCACCCACCTCGGCCTCCCAAAGTGCTGGGATTCCAGGCATGAGCCACCGTGCCCGGCTCTTGTAAAGTGTTTTAATCACCTTGTTTTATTGTTCTAAAGCTGGGGGTCTGATCTCAGCCCTGCTTCTGTTCGCTCCTGCTAAGGGAACCCCTGTAGGCAGCCCGGTCCGCACCTCTGCCGGGAGACAACATACCTGGAAGTGAAGTTGAAGTCCGTCCTGCCCCAGTGCTGTTGCTGTTTTAAGTAAATATCCTGTGCGGTCAAGAGAGAAAATCCCAAGTACATCTGTGGAACACCACGGGCATCCCCCAACTCAGGACATTGGGAGAGATGGGGTGTTGGAGGGGACGTGGGGAGACAAACCTGGAAGCCTCTTAGTCCCACTCTGTTCTTTTTTTTTTTTTTTTTTTTTTTTTTGAGATGGAGTCTCTCTCTGTTGCCCAGGCTGGAGTGCAGTAGCACCATCTTGGCTCACTGCAAGCTCCGCCTCCCAGGTTCAAGCGATTCTCCTGCCTCATCCTCCCAAGCAGCTGGGACTACAGGTGAGCCTTGCCGTGCCTGGCTAATTTTTGCCTTTTTTTTTTTTTCCTGTTTCTTGAGACGGAGCCTCGCTCTGTCGCCCAGGCTGGAGTGCAGTGGCGCGACCTCGGCTCGCTGCAAGCTCCGCCTCCCAGGTTCACGCCATTCTCCTGCCTCAGCCTCCCGCATAGCTGGGACTACAGGTGCCCGCCACCACACCCGGCTTTTTTTTTTTTTTTTCTTTCTGTATTTTTAGTAGACACAGGGTTTCACCATGTTGGCCAGGCTGGTCTCAAACTCCTGACCTCCAGTGATCCACCTGCTTTGGCCTCCCAAAGTGCTGGGATTCCAGGTGTGAGCCACTGCGCCCAGCCAAGCCGTGCTCTGTTCTAATCCCAGCGCCTGTGAAAGCCTTCTGGAAGTTCATAGAAACAACGGCCCCAATATGATGGCGCCCATTCCCGTGCTCCCTGAGTTCTGGGGACCCGTAGTGAGGAGCGATTGTTTTCCTCACTCACCTAGATGTGATGTGAAGAACTTGGTCAAAGGAGTTTGCCGTCACCGACTTGCACCTGGTCAGGCCCCTGCCCTGTGGAAACTGCCCTGACTCAATCCTCATGCCTCAGTTTACCCAGCTAACTCAGATCTCCGCCCACCCTTCTCGGGCTGAGTTAGGCTCCTCCCTGTCATGCCATCCGGGTCTCTCCCGTGTGACACTTTAATGAGGTCAAGCGCGTGGGCGACGGCTGCCTGATCACCTTCCCATCCCGGGGCACAGCCAGGGGCCATGCACCCTGGAAACTCCTCAGCATTTTCTGCTGATAAGGGAAGGAGGAAGAGGGGGGCCCTCAAGGGACAGGCGACGGGGTTTGGTGGGGACGCGGCTCACCAGTTTGTACTTGGTGTTCCCGTCTGACGTGTAACCGTTCTCGTAGAAGGTGGCCTGGAACCCCAGGGAGTGGGGGTTGCTCACCATCACCTGGGAGTGGGAGCAGAGAAGCTCAGGCTGTACGGAGCCAGCAGGCGGGACAGGGCGACAAACCCCTGCAGTGACCCCAGCACACCTTCAGATGAAAAACCAGGACTGGGCACAGTGGCCAATGCCTGTAATCCCAGCACTTTGGGAGACCAAAGCAGGTGGATCACTGGAGGTCAGGAGTTTGAGACCAGCCTGACCAACACAGCAAGATCCCATCTCTACCAAAAAAAAAAAAAAAAAGTTGGCCAGGCGCAGTGGCTCACGCCTGCACTTCCAGCACTTTGGGAGGCCAAGGCAGGTGGATCACCTGAGGTCGGGAGTTTGAGACCAGCCTGACCAACATGGAGAAACCCCATCTCTACTAAAAATACAAAATTAGCCGGGCGTGGTGGCACATGCCTGTAATTCTAGCTACTCGGGAGCCCGAGGCAAGAGAATCGCTTGAACCCGGGAGGCGGAAGTTGCGGTGAGCTGAGATCATGCCATTGTACTCCAGCCTGGGTAACAAGAGCGAAACTCTGTCTCAAAAAAAGAAGAAGAAGAAGTTGAAAATGCATTTATTTATTTATTTATTTATTTAATTTATTTATTAATGTATTTTTGAGATGGAGTCTCACTCTGTCACCCAGGCTGGAGTGCAGTCGTGCAAACTCGGCTCACTGAAACCTCTGCCTCACAGGTTCCAGTGATTCTTCTACCTCAGCCTCCCAAGTAGTTGGGATTACAGGCATGTGCCAACACACCCAGCTAATTTTTGTATTTTTAGTAGAGACGGGGTTTCACCGTGTTGGCCAGGCTGGTCTCGAACTCCTGACCTCAGATGATATGCCTGTGTCAGCCTCCTAAAGTGCTGGGATTACAGGCATGAGCCACCGCACCTGGCCTATTTATTTATTTTTATTTTTTTCAGAGGCAGAGTCTCACTCTGTCACCCAGGCTGCAGTGCAGTGGTCTGATCTCGGCTCACGGCAACCTCTGCCTCCTGGGTTCGAGCGATTCTCATGCATTAGCCTCCCGAATAGCTGGGATTACAAGCACGCTACCACACCCAGCTAAGTTTTGTATTTTTAGTAGAGACGAGGATTTACCATGTTGCACAGGCTGGTCTCAAACTCCCGAGTTTAGGCAATCCTCCCACCTCGGCCTCCCAACGTGCTGAGATTACAGGTGTGAGCCACCATGCCCGGTCTGAAAATGCATTTAATAGACTTAACCTACCAAGCATTGGAAGTTAACCCAGACTACTTTAAGTTGAGAACAAACCAAGCAATACTGAAAGGAGAACAAAACCCGCTCGCCCTTCCACCCCCTGGATCACGACGTTGACATTTCAGGGGTCCAGCCTTCCTGAATGTTTGTAGAAATAGATAATACATCTGGATGAATTTACCCACCTTTAAGTATACAATTCAATGGCATTCGGTAGATTCACAATATTGTGCAACCATCACCACCATCTGTTTCCAAAACTTTCTCGTCACCCCAAACAGAAACTCTGTCCTCATGAAGCAATAATTTACCTCCTTTTAATTTTTTTAAATTTATATTTATTTATTTTTATTTATTTTTTTGAGACGGAGTCTCACTCTATCGCCTAGGCTGGAATGCAGAAGCGTGGTCTCAGCTCACTGCAACCTTCACCTCCCAGATTCAAGTGATTCTCCTGCCTTAGCCTCCTGAGTAGCTGGGACTACAGGTGCCTGCCATCACACCCGACTAATTTTTGTATTTTTAGTAGAGATAGGGTTTCACTATGTTGGCCAGGCTGGTCTTGAACTCCTGGCCTCAGGCAATCTGCCCGCCTTGGCCTTCCAAAGTGCTGGGAGTACAGGCGTGAGCCACCACACCTGGACAAATTTTTTATTTTTTAAGAGATGAGGTCTTGCTCTCTTACCCAGGCTGGAGTGCAATGGCATGATTATAGCTCACTGCAGCCTCAACCTCCTGGGCTCAAGTGATCCTCCTACCTCAGCCTCCCAAGTATGTGGGACTACAGGTGCATGCCACTATACCTGGCTAATTTTTATATTTATTTATTTATTTATTTATTTAGAGACAGAGTTTCACTCTTGTTGCCCAGGCTGGAGTGCAATGGCATGATCTCAGCTCACCATAACCTCTGCCTCCCGGGTTCAAGTGATTCTCCTGCCTCAGCCTCCCGAGCAGCTGGGATTACAGGCATGCGCCACCACACCCAGTTCATAATTTTTATACTTTTTGTAGAGACAGGGTCTCACTATGTTGCCCAGGCTAGTCTCGAGCTCCTGGGTTCAAGTGATCCTCCCACCTCAGCCTCCTGCAGTACTGAAATTACGGGCGTGAGCTCCCGCACCTGGTCCTCATGTAACTTACTGAATACTAACAGTGAAAAACAGAAAAGTTGTATCAGTACTGGAAGCACAGTTCCTACTGAACGTAATCGATTTTGTGCCATTGTAAAGTCAAAAAATTGTGGGACCATCTGTACATGCAACTGATATCTAGGCTTAGACACTTAGATTTGGATCTAGAAACATCCAAACACTTCCTGCTGGGTGGGGGAAGGCCATGGGGTCAGGGCTTTTAGCTGTTAGCAAGAGAAGCCTGAGCAACAGGCTGAGTTAGGAAAATGAGGCCTGCGCGGTGGCTTACGCCTGTGGGTCAGGAGTTCAAGACCAGTCTGACCAACATGGCGAAACCCCGTCTTACTAAAAATACAAAACTCAGTCAGTCATGATGGCATGCACCTGTAATCCCAGCTACCTGGGAGGCTGAGGCAGGAGAATTGCTTGAAACTGGGAGGCAGAGGTTGCAGTGAGCCGAGATTGTGCCAGCCTGCGCAACAGAGCAAAACTCCATCTCAAAACAAACAAAAAAAAAACAGGCCAGGCGCGGTGGCTTACACCTGTAATCCCAGCATTTTGGGAGGCCAAGGCGGGCGGATCACGAGGTCAGGAGATCGAGACCATCCTGGCGAACACAGTGACACCTCATCTCTACTGAAAAATACAAAAAAATTAGCTGGGCGTGGTGGTGGGCGCCTGTAGTCCCAGCTTCTAGGGAGGCTGAGGCAGGAGAATGGCGTGAACCCAGGAGGCGGCGGAGCTTGCAGTGAGAGGAGATCACGCCACTGCACTCCAGCCTGGGCGACAGAGCAAGACTCCGTCTCAAAAAAAAAAAAAAAAAAAAAAAAAGAGAAAGAAAAGAAAAAAAAAAGAAAAGTAAAGAATAGAAAATGAATTTATGAGCAGCTGAGAAGGATGGAGGAGGCACAGAGACGGCACAAGACAGGCCAGGCGGCCAGCTGGACAGCCACAACCTCATCACGCCCAGACATGCAGAAGCTGGTGGAGGGGGAAGACACACAGAAATGGCTGGACACGGTGGCTCACGCCTGTAATCCCAGCACTTTGGGAGTCTGAGGTGAGCAGATCACCTGAGACCAGGAGTTCAAGACCAGCCTGGCCAACATGGGGAAACCCCATCTCCACTAAAAATACAAAATTCACCAGGTGTGGTGGCACATGCCGGTAATCCCAGCTACTCGTGAGGCTGAGGCAGGAGTATTGCTTGAGCCTGAGAGGCAGAGGTTGCAGTGAGCCGAGATCACGCTACTGCACTCCAGCTTAATGGACAAAGCGAGATCCCGTCTCAAAAAAAAAAAAAAAAAAAAAAAAAAAAGACACATAGAGACAATTTCTATGCAGAATCGTGAGTGCCTGAGTAGCGTCTCTCCTTGTGGGGGATGCCAAGGGATTTCCAGAATCTGGGAGTGGGCACCGGGCATGTGGCTGAGAATCCCGATAGCAGAAACATCGAGATGTACTTACCAGAGGAATCAGGGATGTGCCTGGCTGGGGTATCAACAAAGCAGTCAGTTCCAACTGGCTGTGCATGTCAATGGTATACATCCTGTATGTAAATTCTCCTTTCAGAAACTCTATCTAGTTAGGAAGGCAAAGAAGAAAGACAATCATGCTCCTGTTTCCAGAAAGAAAGGGCAAGGAGGTGGGAAGGAGGAAAGGACCCTCCTGGTGCTGCCGCCTGAATCTCCACTTGTGCCTCTGGCTTCCCCACTAGACTCTTTATTTCCAGAAAGGGCTCAAGTTGGGCACAATGCCAGCCCCTCCCTTCTCTCCAGAAGTATTCCCCAACCCTGACATTCGCAGTAATTGCTTTTTTTTTTTTTTTTTTTTTTTTTTTTTTTTTTTTTTTTTCTTTTTTTTTTTTTTTTTTTGAGATAGGATCTCGCTCTGTCGCCCAAGCTGCAGTGCAGTGGTTTGATCATGGCTCACTGCAGCCTTGACCTCCCAGGATCAAGCAATCCTCTTCCCTCAGCCTCCCGAGTAGCCGGGACGACAGGTGTGTGCCACCATGCCTGGCTAATTTAATTTAATTTTTTTTTTTTTTTTTTTGGTAGAGGCAAGGTCTTACTATGTTGCCAGGCTGGTCCCAAACTCCTGGGCACAAGCAATCCTCTCGTCTCGGCCTCCCAAAGTGCTTGGGGTTATAAGCGTGAGCCACCGTGCCCGGTTTCTTTCTGTTTCTTTAGAGTAGAGCCGCCCTAGTATGCATCTCCAGACCATAACAGTCTTGTCCATTTCCCAACATGGGTATGTCTTTTAATCCTCTCTCAATCTACAGGTTCGTTGGCTGGGTTTAGTGGCTCACAGCTGTAATCCTGAGGTGCAGAGGATCACTTAAGTTCAGAGGTTTGAGACCAACCTGGACAACACAGGGAGACTCCTGTCTCTGCAAAAACTATATATATATATATATATATATATTTTTTTTTTTTTTTGTATTTTTGTCTCTCTCTCTATCACCCAGGCTGGAGTGCAGTGGTGCAGTTTTGGCTCACTGCAACCTCTGCCTCCCAGGTTCAAGCGATTCTCCTGCCTCAGCCTCCTGAGTAGCTGGGATTACAAGCATGTGCCACCACGCCCGTCTAATTTTTGTATTTTTAGTAGAGATGGGGTTTCACCATGTTGGCCAGGCTGGTCTCGAACCCCTGACCTCACGTGACCTGCCCGCCTCGGCCTCCCAAAGTGTTAGGATTACAGGCTTGAGCCACCATGCCCGGACCCCTTTTCCTTTCCACGGATTTTGGAAGCAAGCCCCCAAGCTGTTGGGCCTGTAGCATTTCTCAAAGTCTGGATTTCCCTGGTGCAGGTGAACCCTTTCCTCTGTCTTTTGTATTTCCGGCAAATTGGCAGCTGGAGTGATGCTCACCCCATCAGATTGGAGTTTGATCGCATTGGCAAGGTTCAGTGGGTGATGTGATCTATCTCTTACTAGTGATGAATACTATCTTGTTGTCTCTCTTATTTTGTTAATTTCTCTTTTTTATATTAGTTTTTTAGAAATTGGGGGTCTCATTTTGTCACCCAGGCTGGAGTGCAGTGACTCCATCATAGCTCACTGCAGCCTCTAATTCCTGGGCTCAAGTGATCCTCACACCTCAGCCTCCTGAGTAGCTGAGAGTACACACTACCACGCCCAACTTTTTTTTTTTTTTTTTTGAGACGAAGTCTTGCTCTGTCACCCAGGCTAGAGTGCAGTGGTGTGGTCTCGGCTCATTGCAACCTCTGCCTCCGAGGTTAACGAGATTCTCATGCCTCGGCATGCTGAGTAGGTGGAGTGACAGGCACCCGCCACCACACCCAGCTAATTTTTGTATTTTTAGTAGAGATGGGGTGTCACCATGTTGGCCAGGCTGGTCTGGAACTCCTGACCTCAAATGATCCGCCTGCCTCGGCCTCCCAAAGACTCAGTCTCCAAAGTCTCCCACCGTACCTGACCAACGCCCAGCTTTAAAAAAACTTTTTTTTTTGTTTTAGAAGTGGGTCTATGTTGCCCAGGCTGGTCTTGAACTTCTGGCCTCAAGCAACCCTCCAGCCTCAGCCTCCCGAGCAACTGGGGCTACAGTTATGCACCACCATGCCCAGGTTGAATTTGTCTTTTTTTAAAAGTGCATTGAACATTGATCTAAACAGTTAGGATCACATACATTGCATCTTCCAACGTGAAGTTCAGGGTCCATGAGAATTGCCTGGATATTCAGGAGGCACTTCTGGAAATCAAAAGCTGCAAAGGCTGCGTCACGCAGTGGGGTCAGTATTTCCAGAATCCCTGAGCTCCTGAACATCAGGACTGCGTCTTCCGACCAGACGTGTTGGTCTGCAAACTAAGAACAAAATGATTCCTGAGATCCAATCATTCTCATTGTTTTTCTGGAGATTTAAATTTTATTTCATGATGCAGAATTTTTTTTTTTTGAGACGGAATCTTGCTCTGTCGCCTAGGCTGGAGTGCAGTGGCGTGATCTCGGCCCACTGCAACCTCCGCTTCCCAGGTTCAAGAGATTCCCGAGTTGCTGGGATTACAGTCGCACGCCACCATGCCCAGCTAATTTTTGTATTTTTAGTAGAGACAGGTTTCACCATGTTGGTCAGGCTGGTCTTGAACTCCTGACCTCGTGATCCACCTGCCTCGGCCTCCCAAAGTGCTGGGATTACAGGCATGAGTCACCGCGCCCGGTTATGACGCAGATTTAAAGAAGGTAAATTCTTTTTTTGAGATGGAGTCTCACTCTGTCGCTCAGGCTGGAGTGCAGTGGCGCGATCTTGGCTCACTGTAACCTCTACCTTCCAGGTTCAAGCCATTCTCCTGCCTCACAAGTAGCTGGGACTACAGACATGCACCACCATGCCCAGCTAATTTTCATATTTTTAGTAAAGACAGAATCTCACTATGTTGCCCATGCTGGTCATGAACTCCTGGAACCAAAGTACCGGGATTGCAGGAAGGAGCCACTGTACCTGGCCAAAATAATTCTTTTATTTTAAATTTTTGTTAGTTTTATTATTATTATTATTATTAAGAAACAGAGTTGGGCCAGGCGCGGTGGCTCAAGCCTGTAATCCCAGCACTTTGGGAGGCCGAGATGGGCGGATCATGAGGTCGGAGGATCACCTGAGCCCTGGAGGTCAAGACTGCAGCGAGCCGGTATCACACCACTGCACTCCAGCCTGGGTTTCGAAGTGAGACACTGTCTCAAAAGAGAAAAAAAAAAAAAAAAAGCTGGAGTTTTTGTTTTCTCATTTGTAAATGGGGGATGACATTATCTCCTTCACGGAGTTACTGTGAGGATGGAAATATAATTTTTTAATTTTTTTCTTTCTTTTGGAAATACAATTAGATAGGCACAGTGGCCGGGCACAGTGGCTCACGACTGTAATCCCAGCACTTTGGGAGGCCTAGGCCGGTGGATCACCTAAGGTCAGGAGTTGAAGACCAGCCTGGACAACATGGTGAAGCCCTGACTCCACTAAAACTACAAAAGTTAGCCTGGTGTGGTGGCGTGCGCCTGTAATCCCAGCTACTGGGGAGGTTGAGGCAGAATAATTGCTTGAATCTGAGAGATGGAGGTTGTAGTGAGCCGAGATTGTGCCACGGCATTCCAGGCTAGGCGACAGAGTGAGACTTCATCTCAAAAAAAAAAAAAAAATTAGATAGGCATAATGCACAAGAGGATGTCAGATGACACCTGTGCCACCACTTAGTACCACTTTGAGCCGGGACAGATGACTTAGGTCTCTGTGCCTCAGTTTTTCCATCTGTCAAATAGGGACGACATGAGGAGCTACTCCTAAGATGATGGTCAAGGTTAAATAATGTAATACACAAAAGTGCTAGAGCAGCACCTGTCGTATTTTGAAAACTCTTCCCCTTTTAGCTATTGTTACTGGTATTATTATTTTGCTAACTAGAGTGATTTCTAGCCTTCGAAAAGAGGTTCAGAAGTTTGTGAACAAGACCATTATTCCTTACCAATTAATTTGTAACCCCACTTTCTTTTTGATTGTTGTTGAGACAGAGTCTTACTCTGCCTTCCAGGCTCAAGCAATTCTCCTGCCTCAGCCTCCCGAGTACCTGGGATTACGGGTGCCCGCCACCACTCCCGGCTAATTTTTGTATTTTTGGTAGAAACGGGGTTTCACCACATTGGCCAGGCTGGTCTTGAACTCCTGACCTCAGATGATCCTCCCACCTCGACCTCCCAAAGTGCTGGGATTACAGGGGTGCACCACCGCACCCAGCCTGTAACCCCACTTTCTTTTTACCTACTTTGATTATGGAACTTGGCACGATGCCCAGATTGCCGTAATACAAATTATCCTCCCGAGTTATAACTGCCAGTTCGTTTTCATCTAGGAAAAACAAAACAAGACCAAATGAAAATTGAAATGCTGGTCCTTTCTGTGGACCAAAAGATAAGTATGGCTGGGTGCAATGGCTCACGCCTATAATTCCAGCACTTTGAGAGGCCAAGGGGGTGGATCACTTGAGGCCTGGAGTTCGAGATCAGCCTGGCCAACAACGTGGTGAATCCTCCTCTCTACTAAAAATGCAAAAATGAGCCGGGCATGGTGGTGTGTGCCTGTAGTCCCAGCTACTCAGGAGGCTGAGGCAGGAGAATCACTTAATCCAGGAGGCAGAGGTTACACTGAGCAGAGATCGTACCACCGTACTCCAGCCTGGGCAACAAGATTGAAACTTCGTCTCAAAAAAAAAGAAAAAGAAAAAGAAAGAAGAAAAAAATAATATGACAGCTATTTTCTGGTTTATAATCACAAAGTTCACGTGGAAAAGCCAAGCAATATGAAAAAATAAAGAGTTGAAGCTTTTTTTTTTTTTTTTTTTTGGAGTCTCACTCTGTTGCCCAGGCTGGAGTGCAATGGTGCGATCTGCTCACTGCAACCTTCACCTCCTGGGTTCCAGCGATTCTTCCTTCCTCGGCCTCCTAAGTAGCTGGGATTACAGTCCTCCGCCACCGCACCTGGCTTATTCTTGTATTTTTAGTTGGGGGGGGGCGGGTTTCGCCATGTTGGCCAGGCTGGTCTCGAACTCCTGACCTCAGGTGATCTGCCCGCCTCGACCTCCCAAAGTGCTGGGATTACAGGCATGAGCCACCGCGCCTGGCTGATTTCATGTTTTGGCTGGGTTGCGTCTGGCAGGCCTATGGTTAATAAGCCAGGTCTAAATATCTCTAGGCTACCAGTGGGTCAAGTACGCACTGACAGCAATGTTGTGGATGGTGATCTGGGCTTCAAAAATGGAAGTAAACAAGGTCTGTTCTCCTTTTTTCACCCGGACAGTGTCGACGAGCTGACCTAGGAGGTAACAGGACAGGTGCATGAGGCCCCGTGTGCATCATGGGAAAGGGGATGTCTACTACTGGGACCCCAGCTACCCGTGCCACCACCCAGCCCACCCGGCCAGTGGCTCTTCAATGTTCCTTATAGCTTTTGAGAGGTTCGCTATTCAAAGGAGAATGAATCAAGGAAAACACAGCACTGAAACACAATTTTGTTAAGCATGACAAGGAATGTGCTTTGGTTTAAGAAAACCCAAACCTTCTGCCAGGCGTAGGGGTGCATGCCTATAATCCCAGTACTTTGGGAGGCTGAGATGGGCAGATCACTTGACGTCGGGAGTTCGAGATCAGCCTGGCCAACGTGGCAAAACCTTGTCTCTACTAAAAATACAAAAATTAACCGAGCATGGTGGCACGCACCCGTAATCCCAGCTACTTGGGAGACTGAGGCAGGAGAATCGCTCGAACCCAGAAGGTGGAGGTTGCAGTGAGCCGAGACCGCGCCACTGCACTCCAGCCTGGGTGACAGAGCCAGACTCCATCTCAAAAACAAAAAAAGAAAGAAAAGAAAAGAAAAAGAAAATCCGACCCCCATTAGTCGTCTCTATCAGCAAGCTCAGAGGGAGGGCTGTTGAGTTTTTTGTCAGCCAGTGGCGTGAACACAACGGAATGTCTTCTAATACAGGTGACCACTATAAGGAATAAAACAGATCGGGCTAGATGGCTCTCATCTGTAATCCCAGCTCTTTGGGAGGCTGAGGCTGGAGGATCGCTTGAGCCCAGGAGTTTGGGACCAGCCTGGGCAACAAGGTGAAACCCCGTCTCCACAAAAAATAAGTTAGTTATGCACGGTGGCGCACCTGTAGTCCCGGGCGCAGTGGCTCACGCCTGTAATCCCAGCACTTTGGGAGGCCAAGGCGGGCAGATCACGAGGTCAGGAGACAAAGACCATCCTGGCTAACATGGTGAAACCCCGTCTCTACTAAAAATACAAAAAATAAAAATACAAAAAAAAATTAGCCGGGCGTGGTGGCGGGCGCCTGTAGTCCCAGCTACTCGGGAGGCTGAGGCAGGAGAATGGTGTGAACCCGGGAGGCGGAGCTTGCAGTGAGCCGAGATTGCGCCACTACACTCCAGCCTGGGCAACAGAGCGAGACTCCATCTCAAAAAAAGAAAAAGAAATGTTAAATACGAAGCCTCCTGAAACTCTGGAAAAGCAGCCTCAGAGGTGTCTGACTGGCGTTTTTCCTGGATGCGCCCTAAAGCTAGCAGAATAAACCTCCATGATGGAGACTCTTGTCACCATCACTTATTTCAGTTGTCACCGTCTACCCAGCCCTAAGTATCCTGCAAGCCAGGAAGCTGGCAAGGACACAGAGAGATCCACTGAGTGATTATGGGCTTGTGGTCCACTCGGAACACAGAAGAGAAAAAAAAATCGAGTGGTGGAGGGGTCGCTCCTTCCCCTCCCTTTATCCAGGCTGTACCCGGCCCCTCTGGAGGAGGCCACTGGGCAGCAGCCCCGCCCTGGGCCCCTGGGCTCACCTGCATTATGGGAAAACAACAGGCTCTTCTCAAACCACAGGAGCAGGATGCCTTTCTGGCCGGGGGCGATGACGATGTCGAGAGTCCCGTTATAGTCAAAAGACAGCCCCAAACTCCGGTTGAGGGGGTGGTCTGAGTACTTGAACATGCCCTGAGAGAAAAAGACAGCTTTCAGCCTCTCCCCAGACCCTACTGTGGAGTCCCACTGAGTCCCAATGAGGGAAGAGGAGTCCGGCTAGCCGGTGCAGGGGACAGCAAAGAAAGCAAAGAAGCCACAGATCTGCCTTTCTTTTTTTATTTTTATTAAATACAACTTTATTATTTTGATAGGGTTACATTTCAGTGGTTTTTTTTTGTTTTTTTTTTTGAGACGGAGTCTCGCTCTGTCTCCCAGACTGGAGTACAGTGGCACGATCTGGGCTCACTGCAAGCTCCGCCTCCTGGGTTCACGCCATTCTGCTGCCTCAGCCTCCCGAGTAGCTGGGGCTACAGGCGCTTGCCACCTCACCTGGCTAGTTTTTTGTATTCTTTTGAGTAGAGACGGGGTTTCACCGTGTTAGCCAGGATGGTCTCGATCTCCTGACCTCGTGATTCACCCGCCTGGGCCTCCCAAAGTGCTGGGATTACAGGCTTGAGCCACCGCGCCCGGCCACATTTCAGTTTAACCATTGAAAATTTAGCACTGAATAGAGAATTACTCTAAGTGTCAAATGCTCAATGCATTTTGAAGATTTATTTTATTTTATTTTATTTTATTTTATTTTATTTTATTTTATTTTATTTTATTTTATTTTTGAGATGGAATTTGGCTCTGTTGCCCAGGCTGGAGTGCACTGGCACGATCTTGGCTCACTGCCACCTCCATCTCCCAGGTTCAAGTGATTCTTCTGCCTCAGCCTCCCAAGTAGCTGTGATTACAGGTGCCCGCCACCATGCCGGGCTAATTTTTTTGTGTTTTTAGTAGAGATGGGGTTTCACCATGTTAGCCAGGTTGGTTTCAAACTCCTGACCTCAAATGATCTGCCCGCCTCAGACTTCCAAAGTGCTAGGATTACAGGCATGAGCCACTGCACCTGGCCTCATTTTGAAGCTTTAGTACAGAAAAATGTAAACTATCTCATCCATGAGTTGTTTATATTGATTACATACTGAAATGGTACTATTGGGCCAGGTGCAGTGGCTCACGCCTGTAATCCCAGCACTGTGGGAGGCCAAGGTGGGGCGGGCAGGGGTGGGGGGGGTCACTTGAGGTCAGGAATTCGATACCAGCCTGGCCAACATGGTGAAACCCTGTCACTACTAAAAATACAAAAATTAGCTGGGCGCGGTGGCTCACGCCTGTAATCCCAGCACTTTAGGAGGCCGAGGTGGGCAGATCATGAGGTCGAGAGATCAAGACCATAGTGGCTAACATGGTGAAACCCCGTCTCTATAAAAACACACACAATTAGCCGGGCGTGGTGGTGGGCGCCTGTAGTCCCAGCTACTCGGGAGGCTGAGGCAGGAGAATGGCATGAACCCCGGAGGCGGAGCTTGCAGTGAGCCTAGATTGCGCCACTGCACTCCAGCCTGGGGGACAGAGTGAGACTCCGTCTCAAAAAAAAAAAAAAAAAAAAAAAAAAAAAAAATTACCTGGCCGTGGTGGCAGGCACCTGTAATCCCAGCTATTCGGGAGGCTGAAACACAAGAATCACTTGAGTGTGGGAGGCAGAGGCTGCAGTGAGCCCAGATGACACCACTGCACTCCAGCCTGGGTGATACGGTAAGAATCAGTCTCACATAAATAAAAAAAGAAATGATACTATTTTATTTTATTATTTTTATTTATTTATTTATTTTTCGAGACGGAGTCTCGCTCTGTCGCCCAGGCTGGAGTGCAGTGGCCGGACCTCAGCTCACTGCAAGCTCCGCCTCCCAAGTTCACGCCATTCTCCTGCCTCAGCCTCCTAAGTAGCTGGGACTACAGGTGCCCGCCACCTCGCCCGGGTAATTCTTGTATTTTTAGTAGAGACGGGGTTGCACCATGTTAGCCAGGATGGTCTCAATCTCCTGACCTCGTGATCTGCCCGTCTCGGCCTCCTAAAATGCTGGAATTACAGGCTTGAGCCACCGCGCCCGGCCAATGATACTATTTTAAAATGGTTAAACAAAAATATATTGTTGGTGGGGCGCCGTGGCTCACGCCTGTAATCCCAGCACTTTGGGAGGCCGAGGCGGGTGGATCACGAGGTCAGATGATCGAGACCATCCTGGCTAACCCCGTGAAACCCCGTCTCTACTAAAAATACAAAACAAATTAGCCGGGCGTGGTGGCGGGCACCTGTAGTCCCAGCTACTCGGGAGGCTGAGGCAGGAGAATGGCGTGAACTTGGGAGGCGGAGCTTGCAGTGAGATGAGATCGTGCCACTGCACTCCAGCCTGGGTGACAGAGCAAGACTCCATCTCAAAAAATAAATAAATAAATAAAATAAAATAAAATAAATAAATAAATAAATAAATGTTTAAGAATGTGTGAGTTGTAACGAAAACCTGGGCTTAGGCAAAGGTCCTCTGAGTAGTTCTTCCCCCTGCAAAGTTACTTACCTTCCCTTGATCCACTACAAGCATCCCCACCTGTGACAAAGAAAATAAGTGGAAGATGCCACCTAAAGACCCGACGATTTCTGCCTACGAAACAAACAGAAAATACTTCAGATGAATCCATCTTAATACACATGTGTTTGTCGGTTTAACTTCAGATTATCTGATAAGTTACAATAAAGGAAAGTCTTTTTTAAAAAAAAAAAACAGATAATGCCCTCTCTGGAAATACAACACTTGACCAGGCCGGGTGGCTCAGGCCTGTAATCCCAGCACTTTGGGAGGCCGAGGCAGTGGATCACCTGAGGTCAGGAGTTCGAGACCAGCCTGGTAACATGATGAAACCCCATCTCTACTAAAAACACAAAATTAGTCAGGCGTGGTAGTGGGCGCCTATAATCCCAACTACTCAGGAGGCTGAGGCAGGAGAATCACTTGAACCCGGGAGGCAGAGGTTGCAGTGAGCCACAATTGTGCCACTGCCCTCCAGCCTGGGTGACAGAGTGAGACCTTGTCTCAAAAAAAAAAAAAAAAAGAAAAAAGAAAAGAAAAGAAATGTGACACTTGGGTCAAAAACTTGAAAGAAGACAGCTTTGGTTTGAGTGTTTGGAGAAAATGATATGACCCAGACTGCTAGAAGAATGCCTGAGTCTTCCGTTCCTGCCTGGGAGTCCTCATTCCTGACGGTTGGCTGGACAGCAAAGTGTCTAGCTGCTGACTTGGAACATGAATCAAGGGCCCCACCTAGGAACAGTGGGACAGATTTCCATAGCAGCCCAGCTGCCTACCTCCCACATCTTGCAGAGACAGAGACAGAGGGAGAGAGAGAGGGGGGAAGAGAGAGAGAGACAGAGAGAGAGGAAGAGAGAGAGAGAGGGGAAGAGAGAGAAAGAAAGAGAGAGAGAGACAGAGAGAGAGGAAGAGAGAGAGAGAGAGAGAGAGACTAAGAGTGCTATCTTTTTTTTGTTTTTTTTTTTTTGTTTTTTTTGAGATGGAGTCTCACCCTGTTGCCCAGGCTGGAGTGCAATGGCGCAGTCTCGGCTCACTGCAACCTCTGTCTGCCAGGTTCGAGCGATCCTCCCAGCCTCCCCCTCTCGAGTAGCTGGAACTACAGGCACCTGCCACCACATTTGGCTAATTTTTGTATTTTTTAGTAGAAACAGGATTTTGCCATGTTGGCCAGGCTGGTCTCGAACTCCTCGATCCGCCCACCTTGGCCTCCCAAAGTGCTGGGATTACAACCATCAGCCACAGCGCGTGGCCTTGATTGTTTTTGAGACACAGTTACACTCTTGTTGCCCAGGCTGGAGTGCAATGGCGTGACCTCGGCTCAC